CCTATTTCTTTCAAAACAGCCTTATGTTCATGCAGTGATTTTGTGGCATTGCAAAATATTAGCAGAAATCTTTATAGAGTATAGCATTTCCTTTTTTCAGAATTCAGATGTTGTCTGTGTTGTGAATAAAATTGAGAGGTACTTTGAAAACCTTCTAAAGTTTAAGAACTACTCTTTTTAAAGAGTTGCTGTTTCAAGGTATTTGCCAGAAGACTTTTACCACTCACAAACCCCTAAAACTCTTACATACTAAACAGGAAGATGCTTAAAAAGTGGAAACCGCTGGTTTCAACCATACAAGGGTGAATGTTTCTGTTGCCTTATTTTTAAAGTGTGAATTCAATCCAAAAAATGGGATTCCACAATGTATCAATTTAGCCTCATTCCTGTATATATACTGATATCAGTGAAGGTTTGAAATTGGATAATAACGTATACACAAAAGTCCCTAACTAGTGGAAGGGAAAATGAGATGAAGCATTTTCATTCTTAGCCTAGTGATATTAGAAATATCCTACTTGGAAAGTTTGGTTCAACTTCCAGCCTCGTGGAAGCACAGGCCGCTTGTGTTGCAGAATTAGGATTTGTGGCTTTTGGTGGGGTTTTTTCCGTGTTTTTTTTGCAGTCAGGCAGAAGTGCAGATAACATGCGAAAGATTTATGGATGCATCTGCCTGTCACAAAGTTTCCTGAAAGCCTGTTTGTAGTTAGTTTTGGATTCTCCAAGGAAGCCTTACTATAATTGAAGCACTCACTTTAAAACCAAGCCAACCACAAATAGCCATGCAAGTTTTGCACATGAGTAGTGTTGTGCTCCAAAGTTATTTCTGATAACTTGTGGATCAGGACTTACATATTCTACTTAGGAACTTGTCTTACTGTGTGGTTTCCAGAAGAGGGCAGTACTTGTATGCACTAAGAAGGTAGTCTGTGCCAGCTTCATGCCTCACGAAACATGCTTGTGAAAATACTTGGGTTACTGCATAGAGTTTTACTTAGCTCAGAATGACTGCTTACATAACCTGTTAGGAATTGTTTTGACAGGAAAATAAAATGTATTATTTGTGGAGTTTTTGGTGTTTGGATTTTTTTCTCAGTTAAAAAAGATTAATTGGCTTACATATGTGAATTTTATGATGGAAAACCTGAATCTGAAGTGTTAGCGCATCAGGCTTTTACTTGTTGTTTTACTTTAGGGTTCATGCCTCTTGTGCATACTGTTGGTAACAGTTGTATCACCAGAAAACACTGACCTTCTAATGTCATCATCACATGCTTTAAACCACCCCAAATCACTTCCCTGTATGAAATAAGGAGCTGATTGGGATCATCTCCATGATGCTTTTAAAGTCTTACAAAATGAATAGATTGCAACTAACTATATAATAAAACCTATTGAATATTTTTTTACTGGTTTCTTGAGGTCTGGAAAAGACACCATGTTATTACTTGTGTATATTACGCATGTTCTTAATTTAAACAGTATCTTTTTAATTGTTTCTCTAAGGAAATAATAGCATACTATGCTGGACATGGAAGTACTGAGGAAAAATGGAAGAAACCACCACTGCTTGAGAAACTGAAGGTATGGGATAATAAATATACTTGAGAACTCTAGCAGTAAAAGAAACAGGCACTGACACAGAGTGTAAGAATGTTTGGCATAGCCTGCTAGAGAACCTACTTCATATGGAAAGAAACAGAGTGAGGAACAGTGAAAGGAAAGGAAGAAAGGGGTGTGCAAAAGGTGAGAGGTACGAATGAGAGAGGAGCAAAGCAAAAGTGGGTTCTGTGAGGGATACATCTGAATTGTAAGTCAAAGACTGTAGCTACTGAAAAGAGCTGTGGAAAACAGGCATGAGGTATTTTGGACAGTGTGTTAGGCAGGAAGGAACAAAGCAGGCAGCAAGCCAGAATGTTTTACTTGCTTTAAATATATTGTTGATGTTTTTCTCTGTTGATTCTTTCAACAGGAAATGGCCAAAGCAGAAGGTCTGTGGAACCTTTTTCTCCCAGATGTCAGTGGTCTCAGCCAGCTTGACTACGCGCTAATAGCTGAGGAGACTGGGAAATGCTTCTTTGCTCCTGAGGTTTTCAATTGTCATGCTCCAGGTCAGCAGTCCTGTTCTATATCAAAAACACTGAGAGCATTAAAAAGTTGGGCATCTTATGCCTTAGGAGTTGTATGTCTCCAGAAGTAAATGTCTGCTGGTTTCTTACAGACACTGGGAACATGGAGGTCCTGCACATGTATGGGACGGAAGAGCAAAAGAAAGAGTGGCTTGAGCCTCTCCTAGAAGGGAGGATTAGTTCTTGCTTCTGCATGACAGGTAAATTTTTCTCCAGAAGGAAGTTAAAGACAATGGGCAGACATTTCACATGGCATGTACAAGAAGTATAGAACTACAAGTTGGCATGTGTTAATGAATTAATACAGCAATCTCTGCATCTGTGAATGTGTTTGAACATAAAACCGTCTAGGAGGCAAAATGAAGAACGCTTGCTGCCCTTCCTCAGTATTTAGGGTTTTTCATGGTTACAATGACTACTATTTGCTTTACATATATTTTCAGTTTAACTGTTTTCCAGAAAAAATACTTTTTCTGTATTTTTTTGTACCAAACAGGTTTACAATAGAACTTATCCTTTTTCTTTTAATGTGCTTTGGGTTCTCTGGCAACATAAATTAGGTACGATTATTGTGATTAGATTTGTGTAGTTTTGCAGTATGTTATAGGTAGAGGTTTTAAAACATAACCTGAAGATAACTTGCAAAACATATGATGCACTTACTTTACATCTGTAGCTTAACATTAGTTTCAATTCTGAAAGCATTCAGCATCTCTGGAAGGCCTGGCTCTTACTATAGGAAGGTGGCTTTTTAACCATCAGCAGAGTGAGGTTCCAAAACCAGCTTTTCTACTGGGAGCAAAACAGTGTTGCTGTCAACAGGGTATATCTAGAGCCTTATGTTTGTGGAGGTAGTACTACCTGTGTGTTTAATCCAGTGCTCTGGTTTTGGTGTTTTCTTTAATACAGAACCTGACGTGGCTTCAAGTGATGCCACCAATATGCAGTGCAGCATTGAACGAGATGGAAACAGTTATGTGATAAATGGCAAGAAGTGGTGGAGCAGTGGTAAGTACAGAAACCCTAAATAAGAATGTTGAAGTCTAAAATTTTTTCCAGGAACTGATAAACCAAAAATATGCTTCATTTCTGAGATGAAAAACTGTCTCTTCTTGAGTAAAGGCAATGGGATGTAAAAAAAGAAGGAGCTGAATCAAGCTTTTGTTCTATGAAGCAAACTCAGAGACTCAAATCCATTTTGGGGTTTGGGGCTCTTTTTGGAACCTGTGAATTTTGTTCACAGAATGAAGGCTACTATTACTTCATATTACCTCTGTCCATCAGGTCACTTAAATGTTTATGACTGTAACCTTCATATCTTTTTTTATGTAGCTGTCTCAGCAGCTTGTGTGTGTGTAGTTACAGTTAAGATTTGATTGCCTTTTAAAACTAGCCTGTTACGCTGTTGGACTGACTGTTGCAGGTGATTTTCTTGCATTTCATACTATACTTCCCAGAAAAACCAATGGTCAGTGGTAAATGTCCCTGATATTGTAGTACTGTTGCTTTTTTTACCACAAGATATGTGACAGCAACTTGAAAATCATCATTCCCTGGGAGCTCAGAAGCCAACTAAATTGAGATGTTAACTGGAGTGAAACTTGAATGTTTCATTTACGTACCTTTGAGTGTAGCAGCTGCCTACTGACACATGCTGGTGCAATACCTAGAATCACCAGTAGATAGGACTCTGTCTTCTCTAGCACTGCAAAACTGGTGGCAGAAGGAAGCATGCTATCTTGTGTCTCTCAGAGTGTCACTTAACTGCTGGCTGCTACCTTTGCTTGGGGTGAGTGTCTCCCAAAGGTGCATTGCAGTTCCTAAGGAAGCAATGGCAAAGTTTCTAGGAGGTTACACACACAAAATATTATTCATAAAATGAGTTACATAATTATAAAAAGGAGAATGAACATAAGAGAGTGAGCATGGTTTATCTGATTGCTGATAAAAGTAATTGGGACAGTCACATTTGCATAAAGACACATACAAGGCATTGCTGTTTCAAGAGATTTAAGAAACACACACTCAGCTTGGTGTTAGGCAGCCTCCTTTTCTGCCCAGCTGATTGTTCAGGGTTATTTTGGGTGGGTTTGCTTTTTGGCATTGGTCATAGTGTCATTCTGCCTGCAGCCAGCCTGTGTTTGTGAAGATACATGCAAGGAGTCAGTTGCCCTGTGGAAGAACTGATGTTTCTTCCTATGCTCTGCACATCTACAGTAAACTGCTAAGCATAAACATATTAACCCTGGCTTAAATATCTCAGATTCATTGTGTATGTGTAGACCATCTGCCAAGCACTTCTGACTTTTATCTGTTCACACCCTAGTATTTTGCAAAATCCTGGGCAGAAATCCTGTTAGTTTTTGTCATCCAAACAGAGGGAAGAGGCTCGTGGCTTGTTTATGCTACTGTTGTTTCTTCTCTGTCGTTTTGGAGCTTGCTTCTTCCAGTCCCTAATTTTGTAACTAGGAACAATGTGTAAAAATGAGAGATTCTTGTTGGCTTTTGTAATCCATAGCTCGGGCATGTTGTCAGAGCCCACTGGATGTTTGAAGACAGGGACTGTATGCTGTATTACTGCTCTTCATTGGAAGCTAATGTATCTGTATATAGTTGAAATGCTCCCAGAGACTCATGGAAAACTGCTGTTTTCCTGGAATCCAAGCCAGCAATGTGGCAGGGGACAGCTTAGGGAACTCTCCATGGAAAAACTAAATCCTACTGAGTATGAGCTCTGTATGGAGTCAGAACCTCTCTCATCCATCAGCCAAGGCCTTGAGCCGTTTCTGGCTGATAAATGACTATGATGAGAGATGTCAATGCCCACTAAACCAAACCAAACATACATGAACAAATGAAAAGCAGTGCACATTCTGGATTCTTTGATTTTATTGTATCTCCATCTGTTTTAGTAGATACAGTTATGGTAGTGTTTGATTCATTTTACAAAGTCTGACTAGAAATTCCAGGCCCTGTATCTGAAGATTAACTTAATTTTTTCTTACATTTGTGCTAATGCTTGGACTGCACTGCTTTGGCATTTACAGAGATCTAGAACATGCCTCCCATAGGGCACTGGCCTTGTGGATGTTTAGAGTGAGCAAAACAAGAGACGTGAAAGGTTACTTTTGGTAGTTAACTGGTTTTTGTGGAGGATGTTGTTGTGACTATACATATCTAGAAACACATAGAGAATGTCTCCCTTTCCCAGTTCTCAGCCATGAACTTAGACCTCAATTCAATCCGCAAGGCTATCTATGGAATGATAGCTGAGGAAAGAAATGGAACTGATTTATTAGGCAAATGTTCCATCTATTTTACAAAAGAGCTGGGAAAACACAAGATTATGAACTTCTGGTACAAATGGTCCTGTACTGCTGCTTTATTGCTGATAGTTCCTGTTTTAATTAGATGTTTAGAGATGTGCACGTTGGTCATTCTCTAGCTTGTATTTCCACTTGTTTCTAGCAATTTCAGTATTTAGTTCTTGCCTGATGCTTCATTTTGATGGAGCTGTTCCCCTTTGAACTGCTCTGTAGTGACTTGGCTGGTCTGCAGGTTCAGAAAGTCACCTGAAAGTTGACTTGCAGAGAAACAGCTGCTGAAACAATACCTTTGTATAACAGTATTAGTAGTTGTTATAATCAACACTAGTAAATAATTCCTTTGGTTACATAAGATGATAATGAAAGCAGTGGAGAATCTATATAGTGAAACTAGTTGTTTCTTCAGTATGGTCTTCATAATTCATAGAAATCTCTTCAGGTCTTCCATTCTGTTGCTGTCTTCTCCAGTACCCATAATTTTTTGCAATCTTCATAATGTGCATTTTAAAAGAGGCTCCCAGAAAGACATAGAGAAGAGGATTCAGGCAAGTGTGGAATAAAGCTATGCTCTTGGTGACCTGGAGTGCAACGTCTATGCTTTTACTTGTCTCACAGTCAGTGATCAACATGTAGATGATATCTGTGGCCCGCCAGAACTTGACAATGTTGTAAGGTAGCTGGGTAATAATGAAAGTAGTCACTACTGCCAGCAGGACCATGAAAGGTCGAGACTTTTTAGCACTTGCAGATCTAAAGATTGCTCGAGCAGTAGCTGAATAGCAGATCAGCATTACTAGGAAAGGAAGCAGAAATTCCAGGATAATTTCCAGGATTTGAATGGTTGCTTTTAAGAGCGTTTCCATGTTCATTGGAAATACTGGAAAGCATTCGTTCCTGTCATTGTGTTTCTTGACTTGATTAAATACCAGTTCAGGGATACTGAGGAAAATGGCAGTCAGCCAGACACAGATGCAGGTAACACTGCAGTGATGACCAATTCTTCTGTGACCCCTGGATTCATAAGTGGCCTTGTATCTATCCACACTGATACAGGCCAGGAACAGCATGCTAGAGCTGAAATTCATGGTGTACAGAGAAGAAGCGAGCTTGCACATTGCGTTTCCAAGTTCCCATCCCTGCACTGCATTTGCAGCCCAGAAGGGGAGCGTAAAGAGCAAGAGCAGATCCGCAATGGCTAGATGCATGATGTACACATCTGTCTTAGTCTTCGGTTTCTTGCAATAGGCATAAATTGCAACCACTAATGAATTTCCAGCAACTCCAAGAGTGAAAGCCACTGCATAGAACACGGGGAGGAATACTTTACTGAAGTTTCTCACATCACTTTTTTCACAGAGAAGCTCGTATGTATCGTAATCTATAACCGAGTTGACATCCTCCTCCTCATCCTCAATCCAGTAATCAGTTGAGTTATTCAGATCCCAGCCCATGGCAAAGCTACAAGACACACACACACACACAAAAAGGAGGGGAAGGAAACACCAGAGAAATAACACTTGGGTTTAAATTTTAACATTTCTGTTGAAACCTAAACCCCTTACTCAGGGTTTAAAGAAGTTAAAGGACCCCTGGTTCAAGTTTAAAAAAGCTGGATATTGAGAGTACTTTTCTGAATAATCAAAGTAGAGCTAGACTATGATGGAGGCACAAAATAGGGTAACAGACTACATGCAGCCTTCCAGTGTCTGAAGGGGGCTACAAGGATGCTGGAGGGGGACTCTTCATCAGGGACTGTAGTGATAGGACAAGGGGTGATGGGTTCAAACTGAAAGAGGGGAAGTTCAGGGTAGATCTAAGGCAGAAGCTCTTCCCTGTGAGGGTGCTGAGGGGCTGGCACAGGGTGCCCAGAGAAGCTGTGGCTGCCCCATCCCTGGCAGTGTTCAAGGCCAGGTTGGACACAGGGGCTTGGAGCAACCTGGTCTGGTGTGAGGTGTCCCTGCCCATGGCAGGGGTTGGAACTGGATGATCCTAAGGTCCTTTCCAATCCAAACCAAGCTGGGAATCTATTAGTGAGTCTGTCTGTGCAATACAAAGTAAAATGGATTCAACTGAAATGCTTTCATTAAACTTAGCATTTGAGATTGCAAGGTGCTTTGAGTGCACCTCACTGTTTCCACATTTCAGTTGAAGAACCATCATTGCTTAAACTGCACTGACTCAGCTGTGTTTGACAATATTCCACTGCAAAATAAACCTGTTTGTACCTTTATAGGGTTGAAATTACACCTTCATCTTTATAGCCTCTTCAAAGCTGAGTATCAGTTGGAGGCTGTAAATGCTATTACAATAGAGTGGATAAGAAATACTAACAGATTAAAGCGGAGAGGAAAGCAGTAGGATTCTGTGTCTACTGTTATAAATTTTGGCAAATTTGGGGTATAATATAGGAAGAGTGGGCATGTATACTTACGTCTCAGGCGCACATACCTATACATGCCCATTATGTAAAGCACAGCAGCAGCGGTGGTTGCTAAAGAGCAGCAGTTTTAGTTTAGTTTAGTCTCCATCCCACAGAGAGTGAGCCATGCCCACAAGGAATTCCTTCCACAATCAGATTGCTGTGGGTATGCTGCATCGTCCAGCTGGAGACTTTTCAGGATGTTATGACAGGAAAGGAATCTTACCACGTACAAAACTGCCCGCAAGTACCCAAACAGCTCAGAAGCTCTGCTGCTTTCACAAGTACTATCTCATGACACATTTACTCTGTAAACACTACGGCTGCATTCCCAGTGCCAGTTTAGGGTTGAAGTTGGAGTGTTTGTATGATTATGTCTCCAGCAAGTCACATTCTACAGTATTTTCTTCTTTTCCTGTAATTGTGTTCATTGACTGATTTGATGAAATTCTTTCTGTTGTGAACTACAGTCCTGCAGTGCCTTGTTTTCTTGCCTTAAATGGGATTAAGATTTCCTAACAGCAGTAGCAAAAAGGAGCTGAGAATGAAAAGCGCATCTTCCTTTCTCATCCTCTTGCAGTGTTTCAGAATTCCAGGCCATTGTTATTGAAAGCTGCAATTTGGCTTTTTCAAGCTTGAAAACTCTCCAGATGCTATTTCTGGTTTTTAGACAAGTTTTAAATGAAGGCTTGCCAAACCTTTGTTATAAACAGGATCTCTTAAAATTTCTTCTTGTGTATTATATCTACCAGGAAAAGTAAGTTACTGATTGAGCTCATAGTCAGGAATACAGAGCAATAAATAGAGAGAAACTGGTAATTTCTGGTTTTGCTTGAATTTTTTTCCCCCAAATCTACATTTTTCAAAGAGTCTGTTAGAAATTAACTACTTGGTTTGGCTTCATCCCTAATGGCCATTAAATTATTGTGTTAGCATTTCAAAACGCTTCCTCAGATAAACTTTAAACAATGATTACTCCTATTTTAAGTCTTGTAATCTGTCATTTACTGTTGCCTAAATAAGGTGTGCAGAATGGAAAACCACAGTAATTCATTACTTGGGCAAGGGATGTCTATTCTATGCCTAACAAGCTGGACTTTTCAGCTGGGGAAGTCTTTTGCAGCTTTATGGTACTTGGAATAGAGCTTCGGACATCAGCAGCAAATGCATCAGACAAGGAAACTGCTGCAGGGAAAGCTTAAGCCACTTAGTCAAGATGAAAGGTTTGGTTTTGGTCTAAAACACTTATTACAGAACCCACTTGGGAATGCTTAATCAAATTGGACCCCTGGCAAATTGGCTTGAGAGCAAAACACTGAACATTTCAGTGTGACTGTCAAGGCAGCTGCGGATCACAAAGCAGTCTGGCTGCAACAAGGAACATGTGCAGCTGCCTGAGAGGCTTTTGTCTGACCTGGGATTTTGACAGAAACAAAGTTATCTAAAATGCAACAGTTGCTATTTTCCCCTTAAAAACATGTTTTGGGTGGCATACCTGTTCCTTTGTATCATTGCTGTTGTTTCTCAGGCACACCTATACATGCTATTACATAAAGCAGAGCAGTCCCATGGGAGTCAGGTGCTGAGCAGTGGTGGAATGAGCTTAGTTGAGTCTCCATCCTGCACAGAGAGCCACCTTAATTCCCACATGGAATTCCTTAAGAATCAACTTGCTGTGGGTAAGTTGCATTTTACAGCTAGAGACTTCTCAGGATGTTATGCACAGGAAAGAATCTTATCACATAGAGAACGACGCACAAGCACCCAAACAGCTCCCAAGCTGTTTGTTACCAAGTGCTGTTCTCTAGGAGGCACAGTAATAGATATATTAACAGGCAGCTTTGCACGTTTTCTTGCAGACTTATTCCAGCATTCCAGTTACATACAAATTCATTGTTTCTGTGTGTTTAAACTTCACAGGGGATTGTATGTCTATACATTGAATTAAGTTAATATCCCCAATTTAAACAGACAGCTTTTGTATTTCAGTGACTTAAGCAGCATTCCAATCATCTACTGAACAGTTCTGTTAAACTGGAAATGAGCGTGTGCCTTAGTTAAGTTGGCTTTACAGAGAAACATCATTTCACTAAGTAAACCCTAGCTCTCCTCTATATACACAAGATAAGTATATCACAATATAAAGAGCAGTGAATAAGAAAGCAAAACTAACCTTTTTTTGTCAGCAGGCTAATAGCAGGTACTGCGAGTGAGATGTGCTCTGGTGAAATGGTCTGAATTGCTCTGATATTGCATGTAGTCTTCCAGCACCACACCCTCAGCTGGAAGGCAGTTCCACTTTCATTTTGACTGCTTTCCTGGAAGCTCTTCTCACGGTGAACACACGTATTCCCTATGTTCCAAGCGGAACGTGAGCGTTCTTTGGGAGCTCACGACTCTCTCTTGCTGTTTCACTGTGGTATTGGTTGGTTTGTTCCTAAGAATCCAAATGGTTGTTGGTTTGGGATTTTTTCATGTCATCAAAAGGCTTTTATCAAATCACACCTTTAAAGAGGAGATAAGGAGAGAAACGAGGGGAGGTCTGTCGGGGGCAGAGTTACCTGGAGGGACTCACTATATGCTTTCCTTCAGTTTTGATGGCTGCCTATATAAGGCTTTAAGGGATCCTTACATTCCCTTTTTAAGTAACATTTTAGAGGATACAATAGAAAGATGAATTTGCTTTTTGTGAGATGGGGGAGGTTGCTCTTTCAGTATGTGGTATGGAACAAAACCAGGAACATGATAGGGAAAAGATGTGAAAGCAATGATAACTTGTCAAACGGAGTATAAGCAGATATCCTGGACCCTATGGGAGAGCTGTCAGGGACTTTGATGTTACCAGTCAGACTCATAATAAATGTTAGTGTTTGGCAGTGTGTCTATGGAAGCTGCAAGCCAGGCAGATACTGAAGAAGTAAAACAGAAAGATGTTATCCCATCTACGAGGTTCATCTCCCACTTGAAGTGTGCTGTCTGTATTATAGAGTCAGAACTTGGACAGGAAAGGGAAGATGGAGAAATTCTGCAGTTTGCATGCAGGTATCAGTATTTCTGCACTGAGGCATGGACTTACCTGTGTTAAGAATTCCAAAAGTGACTGGATCTTCCTTCAGTTTCCACAATCTCTACAGCTTCAAATTGGTCTCTTGTGCAGGAATATGTTGTGGAGTGTCAGGACCCTTCCATGATCTTCTGCAGCTTTTGCTGGAATCAGCCTGTATGCTGTAGCTGTGTACTGAGTTCCTGTAAATGCAATACTGAAGCCAAATAACAGAGATTTTGAGGTGGCCAGAGGTCAGGTTTTGCCTTTGGCACATGGACTAAATTGACACACCTGCCACAGCTGGATTGGCCATCTGTCTGTGCTTCAGCATGTGAGAGGAAAGCTCCTTCAAAAGGGGCAGCTAAGGATGGAATGGGCAGATGTTTTCCACATACTTCTGGCTGCATTTACATTCACAGCAAGAAAGAAAAATGGCTTGGGAGAGGAATTGGAGTCTAGGGAAAGTGCTACAATATTTGTGCATCTTCTGTAGAATTCCAGGCTGGTTTGGGTCGAAAGGACCTGAAGATAATCCAGTTCCAACCCCTTGCCACGAGCAGGGACGCAGTGTTTTCATGTTGAGTTCTCTCAGTGCTTCACAAGTGTTCCTCAGGGTTGCAGATAAGACATTTGGGTTGCTTCCAACACACCTGCTTCTTGCAAGTTGTGTTGTGCTTAGAGGCCTGAGCTGTATCTCTTTGAAGTGAATCTTTCAGGCTTTGTCTCAGTATGGTCCCCAACAAGGTCAGGCTAGAACTGTGCAAGCTCCCAAGGAAATATATCTGTGTGTTGCCTGCGTAAAAGAATGTTGTGTTACCTGTGCCTAAGTAAAGGGTCCTGTGGGCAGGCTGCAGGAGGGCAGTTCATGTAAATCCTGTGCTGTTTGTTACCATTACATTTCAGTATAGCCCTACAGACCCAAAATAACAAAAGATATTTAGTAAGTAAGAGTGAATACAAAATGACAGTGGATCTTGTTTAACTAAGAAGCACTTGAAGGTGAGGGAAAAAACATTCCTAAACTCAGCAGCAGCTCTCACTGGCACCATGTGAGACTGTGAGCTCAAGCTGGGAACAAGAAGCAGGCACATTCAGTGATGGGACTGTGTAGTCCTTGCTGAATAGCTATACAACCACAGCATTGTCTGTCTCTACTGGTGGCAGCCATATGTGAACTAGATGCCCAGCAGCCTGGCTCCTCCAGTTATCTGCAGAAGATGAGATAAACCTATAGAATACATTGTGCTGGTGAATAGAAGTTACTGCCTGCTCTTGGGGGTCCCCTTTTCTCCATTGGAATGTATTACACCGTATCACACCAATCACTACCATGCTTCCATCCACCCTACTCAATCCAGTTTCTTCTTGTAGGAGAGTCCAGAACACGTGGTTACCAGCTGCCTTTATAGGAAGCTGACAAGTCTGTAATGTCACCAGAGGCCCCTGATCTTTAGCAGAGAGAAGTAACCCACCAGGCTCACTGGTGCAGCAGCCAGCATGGCAAGAGTCATAGGTACTCGGTGCACTCAAGTAGATTATCCTGCCTCAGTTATCGTAGCCAGTAATTCAAAGGCTGGAGACTGAAAAACAGATAACTAGAATGCAAGAATTAAGTGCTGTTGGATTCTGAAACAGGGTTATATGGCAGCTTCTTTAATTAAAGGTTGTACTGTCCATGTTTGTGCAACATTTAGTCCTCTCAAGCAGAAAGAACATGAATTGATTGTGGGAAGGTCAGTAGTCCTAAGCATGTTACACTCCTGATAGCAAGGATTAGGCTTCTAACAGGGTTTGGATCAACCCTCTAAGCACATTATAAAATATCATTGTCTTTGCAATGCATCCAAAGGGGGCCTATAGGGATGCTGGGGATGGACTCTTCATCAGGGACTGTAGTGATAGGACAAGGGGTAACGGGTTGAAACTTAAACGGGGAAGTTTACACTGGATATAAGGAAGAAGTTCTTTACTGTAAGGGTAGTGAGGCACTGGAATGGGTTGCCCAAGGAAGTTGTGAATGCTCCATCCCTGGCAGTGTTCAAGGCCAGGTTGGACAGAGCCTTGGGTGACATGGTTTAGAGTGAGGTGTCCCTGTCCATGGCAGGGGGGGTGCAACTGGATGATCTTAAGGTCCTTTCCAGCCCTAACTATTCTGTGATTCTATTTGTGAGTTAAAAACCATCATGTGTTAGTTAATGATGTTTTCCAGGGTAGCAGCATTGTGGTTTAAATGTTTTGGACAGCTTGTGCAGTCGTATGTATGAAAAAGCTTATTTAAAAGCTTAGCAATATGGAAATAGGCTTCACACTGACCTTCTAAAACCTCTGCTGGTTTTATTTGTTCAATTGTGAGTTTCTTGCAAAACTACTTCTAGCTCCTGCCAAATGAGAGGCTTTTCTGACTCTTCCCCCAACCTCCAGCAGCTGCTTTGAATTCTGTGAGTAATGTAAAAATGCCATTTACAAATGAGAGGTTTATTCCATCCAGACACTGTGTTTTTTCCAAAGCACTGGAGTCTTTCAGTTAGAGCATTAGAGCAGAACTTCCTTCTGGCATTTCTGGGTCAAAGTTGCATAAAATTGGGTTTAGGTTTTCAGGACTTGAGACTCTAAGGAGTATAAAGGCCAGGAATCTGCCTACCTGCCTATGCTCAGGTGGGAAAACACAAGTATGAAACAGGGGTATTCATTCGCCCTCCGGAAACTTGGCCTAATGATTTAGAGCATTTATATCTAGCTCTCGGTGAGCTCGTCACCAAGTTCAGGTTGAAAGCTGCTTCTGATTTGGTTCTGACCCTGTGGTAAAAGTTGCCTCTTTGAAGCAGGATGTGACTTGAAGGTTATTTACAAAACAGCGCTTGAAGAGATTCCAGAAAAGTCAACATCTCTTTTGTGGTAAATTTCCCTTCAAGACAAATGCGCTTTAGGAAACCCCACTTGGGCAATCCTTTATCTTCTGTGCAAAAGGAGAAGAGTCAAATAGCCCTTGGGCAGTGCATTGCAAAGCGCATCTTGTGTTCTTTTGGGGCTGGTCACCTGCTTGTTGCAGTGACCCATATGAGCCAGCTGGGTTCGATCTACCACATTTTAACCAAGCTGGTTTCCCCCCCTCACCCAGCTTTCCTCTCAGTTATTTTAACTCACTTGCATTGTCCAGCTCATGGGCCCCAAATCCAGCCCCACTTTAGAAAACAATGGCTGAAGAGCATATTGCAGAGGAGGAAAGTAAACAGCCAGCAAGCAGCCTGGCCTGGCCTTCACAACAGGCAGTGTTTGTCAGAATGCAATAAATCTCTCTCCCACTTCCTGGCCATCACAGTGGCTGTTCAGAGGAGGAAGTAGCTCAGTACCCAGGTGGGTTTATTGTCCAGACCAGAGGCTCCCATCCTTGTGATAACAGCTGCCAGAGAAGCTTTGTTTCTGACCTCAAAACAGAGCTGGTGCAGATTGAATCCTGAATTAAATCTGTGCAAAGCTTCTCATCTGCACTGAGATAGCAATAAAACACTCACCGGTTGTTATGCACATCAGGTGTAACCGAGCCCCTTTTTCCCTGCTTTACTGTGTGTGTGAGGCTTTGAAAGGAATGAGAGCAAGCTTTGGTACTAAGAAACCTTTCAATATAGTGAAGATTAAGGCTCTTAGAAATAAGATGCCATTTTAGTTAATGATAGACTGTTCTTTAGGATGTGTACATTAAAATGCTAGCTTTATGCTACAAAGACATTCAAATAACGTCTTCAATGGCTTGAAATGCTAAGAGGTTATGTTCAGGTAATGATTTCCACTCAGATCTTTCTTTGAATTGCAAACTAAAATCATCCTGAAGGGGGAAAAAACCCTTAATCCCAGAGAAGTTACACTGAAGTAGTAGCCAAGTCCTCGTGGCAACCCTTTGATAGCCTGATTTACATGATTTGGTTCTAATGTGGTCAGCATTTTATTCCCCCACCAGTCTTTAGAGCTTTAAGAGGAAGTTTTACTTCTGAAATGGCTGCATCTCACCTTGAGGTGTGCTTTTGTATCACGCTGACCTGCTTATCTGTAA